AAAAAGCATGTACATTAGCAACTTATATATTCCTCATAAATGTTGAACATTAGCAACAGAACAAGGCATGTAACATTAGCAGCAGGTTCTGATAAATGTTGAACATTAGCACCAGAATTAATGCTACAGTTCTATGGTACAGAATTAATACTTCAGTTCTATGGTACAAAATTAATGCATACTTCAGTACCAGAATTAGTGCATACTTCAGTACTAGAATTAATGCATACAGGATTAGTGCATACAGAATTAGTGCATACAAAATTAGTGCACTTTGTATAAACCAGAATTAATGCATACAGAATTAATGCATACAGAATTAGTGCATACATAATTAGTGTACTTTGTATAAACCAGAATTAATGCATACAAAATTAATGCATACAAAATTAGTGCATACAGAATTAGTGCACTTTGTATAAACCAGAACTATGGCACAAAGGTAAGATATTTCATGAAGAACTTCAGTACCAGAATTAAGTAGTGCATATAGGGAAATAAACCAGAAATATGCAACTAAACCAGAACTATGCAAATAAACCAGAATTAGTGCACTTTGTATAAACCAGAACTATGTCACAAAGGTAATAATGCATATTAGTGCAGAATTAAACATACTTCAGTACCAGAATTAAGACATACTACAGTAGCAGAATTAGTGCATATTAGTGCAGAATTAGTGCATGTTTCATAAATGTGAATAACAAAGGTAATTAGTGCATATTTGTACCTTTTGTTGGTCTGAAATAAAAACATACTTTCTCTCTTCTCCAATGTCTTCCATTAGCAATTGCATAAACCATCTCCAGCTTTCTTTTGTCTCAGTCTCCACCACACCAAATGCCAAAGGATAATATTGGTCATTCGGGTCCCTTGCTACAGCAATTAACAATTGACCTCCATATTGTGTCTTAAGATGACACCCATCTACCCCTATAAATGGTCTACAACCCTTGGTAAACCCTTTCTTGCATCCATCAAAACAGAAGTAAAATCTACCAAATCTTAGTGGTAGTGTTGGATGTGGTCTCTCAGTATTTAGTTTGACAGTGTTCCCAGCACAATGTTTTCTCAACTCAGTTGCATATCTCCATAACATGTTATACTGTTCCTTTGCATCACCTTCAATTATTTCTTCAGCCATAGCTTTGGCTCTCCAAGCTTTCCCTTTGGTAATGCCCACTGAATATTTCTGTCTAAGCTCAGACATAATTTCAGACAGTTTAACTTTCCCTTATGACTTCCTCTTTTCAACCACTAACTTAGAGACCCACTTGAAATTGGCAGACTTGTTATTTAATGCCCTTGAACATGTGTGGGTCCCCACCCAAGTCTTTATCTGGTAAGTGAGGCTACCTCCCACTTTGCTACACAATGCCAAAAACCCACATTTACTCTTACACTCAACCCTAACCCTACAACTCTCATTCTTAACAAACCTTATTTCTCTACCATTTAATACTGACCAATCCCTGATAGCATCTTTAAATTCAGAAAGAGAAATAAACTCCATACATAATTTGAATTGAAAGTCTTTGTTAAGCAGCTCTGATCTGAACTTCTCATACTTTGGCTTGGAAGGTTTGTCATCCATGTCACTTTCATCAACATCTGAACTTTCAAGTTCCTCACTAGCATAATCCACATCTTCACATTTCCTTGTAGCCCTCTTTGAACAAGATCCTAAGACACTTTTGGGCACCAAAACACTGACCTTGTCCCTTTTGCTCTTTTCTTTCATATTTTTGGGATCCTTGGATGCACAACGCTTGAATCTCAATGATTTCCCTTCGATCTCCACCCTATTCCCACTAACTGGAACAGCTACCTCCACTTGTTCAAATTGCTCTTCTTCTACGTCAATTACTCTTTCCTCTTCACTGTCATTGAAACATTGGCTTGCATCAATATAGTCACCAGTACTATCATCTCCACTAGAGGTGCTGAAGTCATCAACATTAGGTACCAGAACCTTGGTCATCATGTCTTCTACACCGTGCTCTACCCAAAGATCGCCGTGAACCCTACAAGACATACAATGCTTAACAACTTCTACAGCTCCTGCATCATCAATAACATTTGTAAACCCTTCATCCGTTTGCGGAATCTTTCTCCATAGCCTAAAACCTTCATAACCCCAATCTTTAACCAGACTAACAGCTTCAAAAAAGCTCCATTTATCTTCGTCCTGACCTTCAACAGTAGTCTCACTACCTCCTCTATAATACGTATGGCCGTCTTGCACGAAACTTCCCCATGATGAAACACTAAATTAAACACACCCATTTGCAAGGATGAAGAACCCTAATCGCGGGGTCTGAATTGAAACTGGCTTTTTTTGTAAAATAATTTTGCAAACAAATGAAGATGGATGGTTGCGCCCTAATTTGGAGGGTCTGAATTGAAACATAACATTTGCCAAATAATTTGGGATTTTAAGAAAAGGGCATTCTGGACATTTTATTTGGTATTGTGTGACATGGCATAACAAAAACTTACAAATGTAACAAAAATATAAGCCACATCAGCCTTTTAGGTGATGTGGCATCCTCAAGGAAAAAACTGAAACTTTTAAAATTTGTCAAGGTAACAATTGGAACTTTTTTTTTGGCAGGGGTTTTTTTCAAATACACCCCATATGTCAGGGGTGAAAATAGGCATTAACCCTTCTTCTTAATATAGTCTTTTGTCTTCATTAAAATTAAGCCGAGAAGGATGAACATATTTTCTTCATATTCAAGAGGAGATACCTCAAAGTAGTCGAAAGAAGGGATCGAGGTATCCCAAAGAATGGCTAAGACACCTTGTTGGACTTAGACTAAAATACCTGATTCAATTCATGTTTCTCTCTCAACTAAGTAACAAAACATGTGTCACACATACTGCTCTAAAGAGACAATCAAAGTGAGGTGGAAAATTGTCCCTCTATTAGTGGGGAATCAATTATTCCTCACTGAGAAAATGAAGGGGAACGTGGTGGAAGTAGAGGTGACTTCCTCTCATATCTAACACCAAAAAACTCTATAAATACCTAAGTCATGGAGCTGAAGAGAGATCCAATTTTTCACAAAAATATATATGCATAACTTCTCACCACACTACGTAAGCAAGCCCTACATGTTGTTCTAATACCCTAAACATCCCGAACAACAATACATATACAAGGCTCCCTCATTATACTTTTTAGCGAGTATAGTAAGAAAAACAATTTTTGTAAACAAAGGCGAAGACCAATTTCAATAAAAGAAAATAAGAGTCACAAGAGAAAGAGGGGGGCGTCAACCAAGACCCCTCATTAAGGTCTTATCCTAAAGCAATGGAATCCATGCTTGATTCTAAAAAAATCGGTTTTGATGTTATCATGAATATAGTTGAACAAAGTGAAATCCTCAGCTACTAAGTCAATAGGAGCTAACTTATCAACATAAGAATTGTCTTCCCTATATATATGTAGGACACAGTGAAGTTCCTAGACTTTGCAAAAATGATAGAATTCAACCATCTAACTTTGAGATGCCAAGGAACCAAATAATCTCAGTGATAGTTGTCAACTAAGGGGAGTGCAAAACTATTCCAAAAGCTTTGATGATGGTGAAGTCAAGGATGTCAAAATTAAATACCTTCTTGGTGAGACTCCCGGAGTGGGAAACATTGGACATGATGGAAATAACGCTAGATTTGTAATGAGGAGTGATGTTGTTGAATCTAAGATTGTTTCTAGCAAGGCAAATGACATTGAAAGAGTGTAAGAAACCAACAATTACAACCAATTTTCATTGACGAAACTGTGGTCTATTTAGGTCTCTTCCTACCATAAACAAAGCTGGTAACTTAAAACTTTGTCAGGACTTAGTCAACTCTGCAGACATCTAGAGTTTTGAGTCATGGCAAAATAATTTCACATCATATTTTCTCATCCTTTTACAGTGGTTTGAAGGAATCATTCAATACAATCATTAACAATCCTAGTTGGATTCTTGGCAATGGAAAGGAGATAAATTCTTGACTAGATAATAGTTGTGGTCAAATCGTAGCTCAATCATTGAATATTCCTCTAGTTGACCTTATCTCCCTTATTTCCAGAGTTAGTGATTTCATCATTAAAAAAAAAAGTTCAATTTCTGATAACTTGAAGATGGCATATCCCAATCTGATGAACATTATCAGCTTGTATCACATTCCATTGGAGGATTTTGAGAACAAGATAGTTTGGAATCCTATTGACTTAGGTGACTTATCCCTCAAGCAAGCTTATGATTTCTTCGCCAAAATGTCTCCTAATGTCAGCTACACAACCCTGTCATATTTCGTTTCACTGAAACTATACTACTCTTTCTAAAAATAAATAAAATTATCTACAAATATAACACTACAAAAACATTTTTTCCCAGTGTTTGAAAGTTTGGACTATGTGCATGATCAATTTTTACTATTTCTTCCTCCTTCTAGGCTTGCATAGTTATAAATTCCATATGGCACTTTATTATATCATTTTCTAGTAATCCTTGCTTATGATGTGTGTGAATCTGTTGTCGTGTGTGTGTAACATGTGATATTGATGATTACTCAACTCTTGCGTTTTTGTTTCTTGTCTTTTTTTCGTTAAACTTATAATATGTTTTTTCCTTTCTTTCTTCCACTCATCACTTTTCAGATTAGACTTTCACCAAAATTTAATTTTTTTTTTCCCTTCCTTTCTTCCACTTTTCACTTTTTCAGATTAAGTAAGAAAGTTTAGTAAGACAAAAAACAGAAGTGAACGTCTAAGTTGATGAGTGAGACTATTTAAATATAAAATTTCAGCCTTATAATGCACTAATGCAAGATGAATCAGAATTGAAATAAACCATTTCTTATAAACCAATCATGTTTATAGCAAATTATGGCTATAGGATCCACTCGCATATATTCTCAATAAAATTTTGGATTGTCAAATTACAAGATCAGACTTCTTTTTCATTGCAAGATCATACATCTTCCACTCATTGCTAATATAATTGTCACACTGCCTCTTTTGATGAACTCGCTGAAACAGCATCAAAAATATTACCTGAATCTTCAATCTCCACTGTTTCTCCTTCCGAAGCATCTTTTTTGCATTGGTTCTCGGGATTACACTCCAGCCTCTCACCAGAGGAACCTTTTGACAGGTCTTGTAGAAGATCAGAAGAATAATTAGCGATTTTTTTCTCAACATTTTCATTTCCCGAGTCAATTTCTATTGTTTGGTCAAAAGCCAGAAACTCTTCCAGCTTCGCATAATCCAGTGTCTCTGATGGTTGTGTAGAGCACGAAACATTCTCAATGGCGCTTGGCATTTGCAATACCGGGTTATTAGAGATTGTTGTCAATGTTGTAGCATCATCGTGATTAAATGGTTGTTGGAAATAAGGCTTCAAGGGACTACAATTATCATTCATGTCTCCCTGCATGCCTGTAGGACTACACAAAATTGGAACGTTTGGTGTTTGAGAGTTGTTTGGAAAAGATGGCACTGAAAATTGGCCATCCATGACAGTTGGGAGTTCAGGCAATCCCAGTTCAGGCAAGATAGGGGAAAAAGGGATCGTAGGTGGCACATACTGTGATATATCAACTTGCCAGGGATTCAGCCTGTTGGTATTTGTCAGCAAATTAGGTTCACCCCATGTAACCTAAAAAGTATGATATCAAAAGATTATTCAATGATGAAACAAAGTTATATTTGCTTATAACTGAGTTCAAAATGAGTATGATAAACATGTGTATACCTGCAGAAGTCTCCAAAGAGAGTCTGGCCATGCTGGATCAGCAGCTTGAACAGAAGCAATTGTTCCGATAAACCAATTTATCTTTGACGAGTCTTCAGTTTCAAAGGCCATCTTGAACCTCATTCCACAATCCCACCTAGTCTCAAGTGCTGTTCTAACTAAAGAGGTTTTCACAAAAAACTCGGGAGTACCAACATGAGGATAGTAAACCACATCAAACGGTTGCATATTGACACCGAGTTTTACTGCTTCAATAACATCTTCAGCCTTCACGTTTCCAAATCCCATCACCTTATCACTTATTCTCAATTCATTTCCAGATGAAGGGTTAAATCCAAAGTCTTTTTGTCTTTTACACCTTCGAATTCCAATATGAAGATCACCGTTTTCAGCTCTCGTAAACACAAGTGAATCCCCCGAAACAAGTCGCTTCTTGGTTACAAAATCAGCCCACCCAGTTGATAACACATGCCGCTTCGAGCCCCTATAAAAATGTTTTATTTCCCACGTTTTGCCTTGAACATCTGTTAGATAAATCTTCTGAGAAGTAGGTTTACCTGAATAGTCTAATGGAGGAAAAAATGTTTCTGCACACTTCTTAGGACAAGAGAATCCACCACTCTTGTTTATATCAGATTCTGACAAGGTTTTCGTATAAGATTGATATTGATTCTTAGTTACAGACATGTCATCGACGCCAGCAACAGCGTCATCATCAAAACTAACATCGCTAGGATGCAGAGGAACAAGCCTGAGTTTTGCATGCACTTCATCTGTGTCGGGATCAACCATATAATGAATAGCTGCAACTCTACATGGAATTTTGTATGGAATGTTGATGTCATCAGGAAAGTGGACAGGTTCATATGCATGCTCGGCATGACCTTGAGGGAAGTAGAAGATCTTAGAGTTAACTTGTGGAATCTGCACAGTTGTTCCAGCAACAGCATGCCATAGCCGAGGATCCACATCCGTGTTCCCATCTTCTATCTTCTTTTTCTTTGACTCTCTATTGTCATCTTTCGTAGATGTCGCCATTTTAAAATCCAATTCTGCGTGCATTAAAAGGTGATTTGCAAAATAAGCCAAACACGCACTATTTTTGTTGAATCAATAGTTATAAGCATAAAATCTCGATTGCATGTGAAAGCATGTAAATCTAAATCAATCAAATGAATACAGCACAGAAAGAAGGAAATGTGAAACAAAGATGAGAATTTGAATGAGATAATGTGTATTATGGGCACAGGAAAACAGGAGAAAAATAAAAGCAATACTCCCTACAACAAAATGACTCTCAGTTTCAGAAAGTTGCAGCTTCCAAAGTTGATTAACACATATCAAGAAGCAATAAAGATAATCGAAAGTTAAAAGCAAGAAGCGATAAAAAAGAAGAGTAGAAGAAAGAAAGAATAAAAAGAAAGATATAAAGAATAAAAGGAAAGTACCTTTCTTTATTGCTTGATTCAGCAATCCGGAAGAGAGAGATGCGATGGGGGAGTTAAGAAACTGAAACTTTCAACTGTGTATGGGGTTTATGAATAACAAGGTTTAGAAGTTGAAGTAAAATTGTTTCTAAGATAGTGAGAGTTACACTAAAGCAATAGGGTCAGTTAAATATAACAGCATTGAAACGGTTATAACAAGAAAATGATGGAACTTATTTTCATATTATTTTTAACACAACTTATAAATCAAATTATTTCTTTTAGAAAGATGATTTTGCATATAATCTTTAAAGTCGGTTTCTTTTGACTTTTTTTTTAAAAATGATTTTTAAGCAATAGGCATATTGTTTGTTTCAGCTTTAACAAATAGATTGTTTTTTTTATTTTTAAAAATAGATTTTATAATAATTACGATTTTGATTATGTTTTAATCTTCAATAATATATTTTATGTTATAGGATTTCAAAATCAGTGTTTTAAAATTAATAACAAGTCATTTGAATAAAATGGGAAATTTAAATTTCAAAATAATCAATGAAAAAAACCTTAAACTTAGAAGAGGCGGAGTGATGGTAAAGTTGATTATGAAGTTAGAAAGTGAAAAGAGATTAGGGAGTTAAAGAAAGAGATGCATGAACTAGAAAGACAAGAACTGGTGGATATCTTGGCAGAGATGGAACCTAGGCACAATTTGTCCCTAATTAATTTGTGTGGCCGATTGGTTTGCAGAATAATTTCTCGGCATGCTCATGCTATTCAGCAATGTTACAGTCCTCGAATGAAGGTGCAGTTGATGATAAGTCTAAGAAAGCATTGGGTGTTATCTCGAAGGCGTTCATCCCATTTAAAGTAAAGATTTTTGCATGGAAGTTGATCCATGACAAGCGACTCAATACCAGTTATCTTGTAGGGGAATAATCTTGAATCCTCACGACAACCTGTGTGTTTTTGGTTGCACTCAGGTTGAAACCTCTCATCATCTCTTTTCATCTTATAATTATCTGTCGAATGTCTGGGAGAAGATAATGTGTTGGCTTGGTATTGAGTACAATGTTGAGCCCAAGTGATGCAATCATTTCCTTCTGATGGTGGAGGCCTTGCATGGAAAGTGCTCAAAGAAGAGAGAGGGTGTAATTTGGGTGGCGGTTTGTTGATGTATATGACGGCACCATAATGAGATTGTCTTCAACAATGTTGTTGAAGATGTTGATGAAATTGTGCATAATGTTAAAATGCATTCTTGATGGTGGCTGGCTATAAGATCCATATTGAAGATTAATTTTCTTTTTATGATTGGTGCAAATGTCCCCTAAATTTCTTGTAATTAGGAATTCGGTGGGTGTTTTATATTGGTGTTGTTCTATGTAAGTGGATTTTGAGTACCCACATGTACTCTTTATGAAATATAATATTTCTTATAAAAAAGATGCATAATAAACTTTCATAGTTCCATAAACGTTGGCAGCAATATGATCAGTCGTACTAGCATGTTCTTTATTAGGTTAAATAAGTTTTTGATCCATCTAAATATCTTAAATTTCGTTTTTAGTCCCTCTAAATTTTTCCTTCAAAGAATGGTTATCCTAAAAAAGTTAAATTTTAACTTTTGGTCTCTTCTAACAAATCGTAGCTAAAATAATCTATAATTCCATCGCTAAATAAAAATCATCGCTAAAACCATCGTTAAATAAAAATCGTCGCTAAAACCATCGCAAAAACCGTAGCTAAAACCGTCACTAAATTGCAACAGGGACCAAAAGTTAAAATTTAATTTTTTTTAGGAGGACCATTCTTTAAAGGAAAATTTTAGAGGGATTAAAAATGAAATTTGAAATGTTTAGAGGAATCAAAAACTTATTTAACCCTTCTTAATTTCCTATGCCACTCTCCAGCATATTCCGTTCCACCGCGTGGTTCCCTCCTCCTCACTCTTGTATTTCATCAATGAGGTAGTTTAATTTTTATTTTTTATTTGATTCAGAGCATCAATTCTCATTTATGTCAAGTGTAAACATTATTTTAATAGGGACAAATTTGTAAACGGCTTAAAAATGTTTTTCCCATTCATTTAGTATTCACTGAAGAGTTAAGAGAAATCTACTTGGTATCTCGAAATCCCATATTTTTCAATAATACCAAAATTATTATTGTTATTATTTACCCATTTCAAAAGTTAAAGGTAGCAACAAAAATTGATAGAGTTATGGAATATATATATATATATATATATATATATATATATATATATATATATATATATATATATATATATATATATATATATATATATATATGAATTAGTGGGTCATCACATATTAGATTGTCTAAAATCCGATGAAAATTATTTTGTAAATAAAGACAAAATACTGCAAGGCGCCAAGGTACATAATGGAGGCTTTGAAAGCTATAAATCTTGATAATTTGACGAGTACAACACATGTGTGTTAGACAAGATCGACATATCAGTCTACCATATGAGGTCCATTCACAGAAATGTAACATCTATTGAAACTAATTCACAATGAGAAATATATGTGCTTGACCAAAAACTAAGAAGAATTAGATGTGCTAGACACATCCTGATTCTATGAAGCCATTGAACATGTTTCATTTGGTGTTGATCATTGAATGTACAAACAAAACTAACAGGTACTGGCTCCCATTACCTGAGATCGTTGGTATTACGTCAAACAAGTTGACTTTTTAGGTTTGGGTTTGCCTACTTGGAACATGAAATGGAGGCAAACTTTACATGAAAATTGAAGAGGATGAATGGGTTATTCACATCTAAGAAGTTGCTTTCGAAGGTCATGGTGACAAATTGCGAACTTGACCTGATAAATGCCATGAAAGTTGTCTTGCCATCTACTCATCTTTTGTGTGTATTCCATATTGCAAAAAATGTTAGTTCGAAATGCAAGGAGTGTGTTGAAGCTAATAAGCAAGAGCATGTTATAGATTTATGGAACAAAGTCATGTATTCATATAATGTGTTTGTGTTTGAGCAACACTTACAGCATTTTGAGTTAGTATACACTTATATCCCTTCATTTGTTGATTATGAGCACCAACATGGTTGACTCCCTATCAAGAAACGTTTATTGATGCATGGACAAACCAAGTCACTCGTTTAGGAACATGGAAATAAATAGGTACATTTATAAGCTTGTGATTTATATTTTTTACATAGATATTTATCAATTTATTTGTTACATCTTTCTCTATTATTGTTTTATATTGTTGAGTCTGCTCATTGGAGACTAAAAAATATGTTGAATACTAATTGAAGAGATTTGTGTAAATGTTAAAATATTGTGAACACCATGTTGAAGTTGCAACTAGGTGCAATCAAAGTAGTGTTACCAACATTGAGCCTCGGTATAATACTTCATTTTACTCGATATTGCATGACTTCTTATTGAGATAGTGCATACAACATATTGCAAGGGAATTGGAAATGGTAAAAAGAGTTGGTGCTGAAAATTTTGCATGTGGTTGCTTCATTAGGAAAACACATGGGTTACCTTATACGTGTGAACTTGCAGGTATTCAAATACAAGGTTACCTTGTTCCATTAGAATCCATTCATATGTTTAGAAGAAATTACACATTAAATAGCATGAAGTCCTTGAAGAATAAAGTGTAAGACAATTGGACTTAGATGAATTATGTGAAGAGTTGAATATGTATTTTTAGCATCTTAGATATTGTTGTCTAGAGGGAGATGAAGAAAAAGGTGCATGAACTTACATATATATGCAAACTTTCATGTGCCCACCATCGTTGAAGTACAAGCCAAAAAAAAAGTTAAGAAGAGTAAAAAATGGCAACAGAGTGGTGTGCATTGTGATCCTTCAAATTGATAATATGTTAAGGCCTCCTAAGGGAGTAAAACATCCAAGAAATCATCTAGTAAAGCTCCATCAAGTTAATTGTCTAGTCAGTCTTCAAGAAATTTTTACTTGTCTAAGTTTCCTGTTTTCTTACATGACTACATTGAGGATATCATAGATGTGGAGGTTGACAAAAATTGTGGTTTCCGTGCTATGAGAGATTAACTTTGATGGGGTGAAGAGTCATAGTCTTTAGTTCAAACATAATTAGATGGTGAATTTTATCCAAACAGTCATTTGCATTCCAAGGTGTTATGTGACACAGTCTCAAAAGCTAGGAGTTCATTGAGAATCTCTAATTTGAGGGTTCAAGATCGAGATAAATGGATTATAATTTCTGACATGGGTTACCCTATTGCTTTTAGATACAATGTGATATTGGTTCCTTTGTCCAGTAACCTTAACATCACTTTCTTCCCACTTGTGGTATCTCTATTTATGTCTTTAAGTAGGCATAAAATTATTGCATTTGGTTTTGATAGCAACAACCATTGGATTCATGTAAAGTTGAAACTCGATTGTCCATTGTCTCACATCATTGACCGCTGGAGAGAAAATTATAGTGAAGGTGCAAGAGCATGTGAAACAGCACATGCAGGATGTATAAGACTTTGGGAAAAAGAAATCGGGAAGTCAACATAATGTAGATTGTATTGATATTGTTATATAGTTAGGAATTATGGATATTTTTGTAGAG